AGTAAACTCTCTCTCTCCCCACCCCTCTATTAGACTACAAATTCCAAACTGGGATCTTAATGGGATCAGTTCGGAAGCTTCCTGTGCTGCGCTATTCGTGGCTGACCTAGTACTAACGGTTGGTGATTTCATCTTCCTATTATCTGATGAGCAGGCGGGTTCGAAGGTTCCTGTAACGGCGCGAGATACTTGGTCGGATAATTCAAGAACCTTCTCCATCTTTCAGGCTTCTAGGAAGGTAAAGAAGGTAAACACACCAGAACAACAGCTGACACATAAACCCCGGAGTCAGTTGGAAGCAACTAATCATAGTACTGAAGTAAAAAAATCAAAAAATCAATGGAAAAAAATAAGGAAAAGATGAATAAGTTGGCAAGTAATGAAATAAGTAAGAGAAGTGAAGGAAAATATGTGGTGGATTAATCTATTCACAAATTCGGATGAAACTATATGCCTCTATATTCCTTAGTGTCCTCGAGGTCCTCCACCCTAATTCCATGGAAGGCCTTTTGATTTGATCTTTGGTCTTAACGTACTGACCGTTTTTTTTGCCCTTCGATAGCACAGCTGTTCGTTATGGTCTGCGGTTTTCTTTTTCGTTTTTGTGTAAGCTAGATCGTACAAAACTATCTCTCCCTTTAGTGAACTGTATAATTTTCCAGGGGTCTCGTAGGGAGAGATGGTGCTGTCACGTTTAGGCAACAATTCACTCAAGCATTCAAGGGTGAGTCGCATATAGCATTTTAACTTTTTCTCAGACTGAACAAGTTAATTCCAGCATGGACCACTTTTCGCCCTTCTTCACCGCTTTTCAACATCACCATCTCTCAATGTGAAGATCTACCCCAATGCTAAAGAAGCGGTGAAGGATATCCCCGACAATGCAAAATTACTTGTTGGAGGTAGGTGCTCTGGTTTGTCGTTTAAACTAACGGCAGCTTGTAACTGATTCCAAAGAACTTTGTTCTGACAATTTCATTATGTAATTATTATATTTATTATTGCATTATTATTGTGAACTTTTTATCTTTTCCACGTTCCGGACCGCGTGACACACATGGTGTGTCACATATTTTTCTCTCTGCTCTGTTTCATATTGTCTCTATGACATCTATTAAAACATTTCTGTCGCTTTATAAGCTTCTGTTTCTAACCATCAGTCAGCAGAAAAATTGGGAGAGGGGGCGGTGGCTTTCGGCCAGCATAGTGTGTTTAGTCTTACCTCCTTTGTTCCTTGCCCATATTTTTGCGGCATGAGTGGCACCGTTTGAACGCTTCTTGAAATATTCTCTTCCATGTATGAGAGTGTACGATCACGACAAAGATTAAGACCTGGCTGTGCGTTCAATCCGAAAAAAATCTTAAAACTCCAGCGAACACGCAGAAAACATTTGACACCTGGGCGCGGTGAAACGATGCGGTCAGTTTATGGCGCAGGGGATAGAATCGGTTGTGGCGCAGTGAATAAAATCAGTTGTTGATTTAAGTGGATTTTTCCGGTGGCTATCACCTCCAATTACATTACGCAAGTATTGTAACGGCTGGTTGCACCACGGTCAGGACATGGTTTACATAGGAAAGTCCCAGACGCTGGTGAGGGAGGAGATCGTATGTGGCTAAGGGAATTTTTCCGATTGTTGATCATTCCCGACCATGCGCGCTATTTCTTTCCTCCCGTAGCTGCAGGCTCTGCAAAAAATTTAACTTTCCAGTAGATATTTATCACCGAAACGAAAAAATTTCAGGCTTTGGGCTGTGTGGTATCCCAGAAAATTTGATAAATGCATTGAGTGAGACTGGACAGAAAGGTCTCACATGTGTTTCGAATAATGCCGGCGTGGATGACTGGGGACTGGGAATTCTTCTCAAGACACGACAGGTTACTTTTGTTTTGTTTTGCTGCTTGAGATACGTCATGAATGAGTGAGCTGGTCTTCAGAAGTTTGCGAACCAGGGTGGGGCTGAGTGAAAAGCTACACTTCATATTGGAGTGTCGCGCTCTGCCTTGCTGTTTGGTCATTTTACAGTAAAATTTTTAGATCAAAAAGATGGTCTCTTCCTACGTTGGTGAAAATGCCGAATTCGCGCGGCAGTACTTGTCAGGAGAACTGGAGCTGGAGTTCACTCCGCAGGTCGGCTCTGTTTTATTCCAAAGTTAAACAAACTGCGATGAAGCATGAAAACTGGGTTTGATGTTGGCTCACAGGTATTTGTTTGGATTGCTGCTATTGATGGTTATTAGGAAATAAAACACGTAAAAAGCTAAACGGTGAATACTCACACTTGGAAGCATTTGTTTTTCTGTGTTCGTTCTTTGTGCTTCAACTGCGAAGTATGATGTGCGATGTTCTTATCTCTCGTGATCAGTGCTCTTCCTGCTTGACGATTACACTATCGAAACGAGTTTTGTTGCGATAAGAACTACTGTGTGAAGGTATAGGTCACATGTGATCTCAAAGTGTTCTAGGGTACTCTTGCCGAGCGAATCCGAGCAGCAGGAGCTGGCATTCCTGCATTTTATACTCCAACTGGGTATGGAACATTGATACAGGAAGGAGGTGCTCCGATAAAGTACAGCAAAACAGAAAAGGGAAAAGTCGAAATTGCCAGTCCTGCTAAAGAAGTGAGTTGTCCAATGCGGTTCAGTCGTCGTCGTGTATCTTCAAACCTTTCCAAGATTGAGTAGCTCTATTAGGCGCACGCTTTAACGTGTTCGACTCTCTCAGACCCTGAAATGGGCAAAAAAGGCTTCATAGCGCGCCACAAGGTCATTATCATGATAAGGTTGGCAAGAAAGTCGAACCTGGTTCAAAACTAGATGCGGTTCCTTTGTCAGATTTTGGTTTTGGATTGGTTTCCTACTTTTGTTCGGTGCGGATAAAGGAGTGTGTCAGACGGGGTGGACTCGGCGCGGCGCCAAGCCCGTTTCCCATCTGTTGTTGAAGCTGGTGAGCGACAACATTTGGTGGGAAACCCTGATGCGTGCAATGTTATACAATCTTGCCGCTTGCTTGTTTCAACAACTGGTGGAAAAAAGAGGTTTGGCGCCGCGCCAAACCCATCCGACCTGACACGCCCCTTCGTCCACAGCAGACAGCGCTGTACTAAAGTTACCGTTTTCTTGTCACGCATACTGGGGTTGTGAAACCCTTTCCGTATGCAAGGTGGGTCAGGTCAGTTGAACCATTTCCGCCCAAGTAAGTATGCATGAGAGATGCCAGGGATAGTGCGATGCAACAAGCGCTCATACCATGCATTTCTTGTTTGCCTGTGAGCTCTCTCTTTCTAATCTAGTTTCCCTTTTATGCTGAGTTTTTCGTAGTCATACGCATGCACTTTGCTCCAGATAAATTGTGGAACGAAGTTACCTATGAACGCACTTTTAACGGTTTCTTTTTGCTGTTGACTCCACTAGCAAGTCATCTGGCATTTAAAAGTTAATATGCGAACTGCAGTCCCCACTCTTGCCATTGATTTCACTACCTTTTTTCCACGACCTTGCGTCACGTCGAACTACCCTCATCTCCATTTCTTTCACAACTGAATAGTTTTCATTAATTTTGACTGTTTAATAATATACAAATTAGTTTCTTTAGACTCGTGCTTTCAACGGATATAATTATGTGATGGAAGAAGCAATCTGGGGCGATTTCGCTCTCATCAAGGCTTGGCGTGCAGACAAACTTGGCAATATTCAGTTCAGGTATTGCCATTTTAATTGAATGTCAGACACCTAGAGGATTTGCCATTCATTTTTTTTGTGAATCTCTGAGATCGTAGAACTCCAAACGTCTGCGTTTGTAAAAAACCAGATAAAAAAGTGGTATTTCTGCTTCGTTTTTTTTCATTTTCTCAAGAATGGTCGTTCATTTGCGACTTTTGAGTGTTTTTGAATGAGGTGTAGTCTGCGTTACGAGCTGCAGTGAATTGTAGATGCATTCACAGATTTGATCGTAAGAGCAGAATTAGTAAGTGGTAGTTATACGATCACAGAGGTAGGCGGAAGTTCTTGTTGCGGTGAAGATAGGTGAGATCGTTGCTGGAATATGCATGCTCAGTATTGAAGTACTACCCCGCGATGTACCATTTGCAGGTTTAGGGTAAAATCTTTTTTTAAAGGCTAACGGCCGGCAACTTCAATAACGCCATGTGCAAAGCGAGCAAATGTACCATAGTTGAAGTCGAGGAAATCGTTGAACCAGGAGTCATCGAGCCAAATAATGTATGCTCTTGAAGTTTCATTGACCATTCGAGGAGCTATTTCATCTTTTTTTTCCTGAATACAGCTAAACTACGTTCATACTGCGCGACTCGAACCGTGGGTCGCCCAAGTTCAGCGACTGCAACCGACTGTGCTCTACCGCTGATCGTTGTGCCTCTTCAACTTCTGATTCAACTTTTCCAAAAATAAGGCAATTTTTGCCGTTTATCAATGTTTAGGTAACGGTTCGTACTTCATTTACAAAAATTGTTGGCAGAAAGTCGAGGAGATGCGATTGAATTAGAAGTTGCGGCGGTCCCACCATTAGCGGTTTAACGCCATTGATTACAGTCGCCCAGGTTGAGCAACTGTCGCTCGAGTCGTGAAATGGACGCAATTTTATCGGTGTTCTATTCCACTCATCTGGTATACATCAGGTACACATCCCATCTATCTACTGTGACCGGCTTGTGCTTGGCAAGAACTACAAGAAACCTATCGAACGTCCAATGTTTGCATCGGTAATTTTTTTATATATTTTACTTTTCTTCGATCTTCTCTAATCTTGTAAGCGTGCAACGTGAAATCATTTTTATTTAACCGGTTGCTTTTTATTCGAAGTTATTAGGGAACTGTATCGTAATCGAATATTTTTCAGAATGGTAAACCCAAGCCGTCCAGTTCTCCTGCCGACCGAACTCGCGATATCATAGCTGCTCGTGCTGCTCTCGAGTTCCGCGACGGAATGTATGGTTCGTCGCTGTTTCCACGTGTTTTCTTTCTTTGTGCTACCAACATACGATGAAACCCGTCGCTGGGTCACTTAGAATCAGTTTTCCGAAACAGGCTTTCGACAAATGATGTTGGTGGCGGGCGTTATGATCTCCTTAAGTTTCCAAGGTAACGTTCATACTTTGCAACTGAGGAGATTAGGTGATTTGGAAGACTCGGCGATTCGGCGTTTCGCGCCATTGCTCTGTGGGAGTGGA